GTAGCCCCGCTGGGGCTCCTTGATGAATTGCCCCAAGGAGATATGCCGGAGCCATGGGTCCCTCCTCTGGGACACACAGAGCCATGGCACCTCCAGGCCTTGCTCTTGGAGGTCTCTGCTGGGTCCCACCTCCCGGCTGCTGGGTCCTGCCCCCAGGCCGGGCCATGCAGAGGCCTCCAGACCCCTGGCAGTGCTGTGCGGAGGCCTCTGCTGGGCCCCGGGCCTTCTGGTGATGAATTGTGGTGATGGTGTGACACAAGTCTCCGATGCTTCAAGTCCCTGCCCACCTGTGCCTACTCTGCACTCAGCCTCCTGCTGATTGGTCATTATGTGTGAGGGTGTCCCAACCATTTGCATATTGCCCTTTTATTAGTATAGATATTGCACTGTACGTTTTTAAAGATGGCAGCCCTAGAGTGGTTGAAACTGGGAATAGGATGGAGAGATGGAAAGGGACAAAATGTTGGCAAGAGAAAAATGTCAAATGAAATAAGATTCCAAATTCATGGGAGAGAATGATGTTGGGGCAAACACTTCTTTCCCATAGCTGATGTTTCCTTTCTTCTTAATTACTGTAACATACCTCAGTCACTTCTACCTGTAAGGATGTAGAGCGACATTCTGGTAATTTGGGGAAAAAGGAACTGGGTATGCTCTGCTCAGCTCAGCTCTTTCAGTTTGCTTCTGGACATTAGTCCTAACCACAGAGGGCTGTTCTCCCTATTTCTCCCACCCATGTCTTACCGAGAGGGTACCTCCTGTCTGGAGCTTTGACCTGAGCCAGCATTGCTCATGACTCTAGGGTAAATCTGTCGAGTTTGGTGCTTTGGTTTGCAGGTGTCTTTGGCTCTCATGCTAAACCATATTATTTAGTTTAGCCTTCATCAGTAAAACGTGACATTTTGCTCTCCCTCTGCATATCCTTATCTCATTTCTCAGTATGATTAGAATTCAGAAGGCGAAGAAGAGTGCTGTTTATTTGGGCCTCTCATCACCCCTCACCCCAAATGCTGGGATTCCAGGGGAGGGGAACTAGCTTTGGAGGGGAACTAGCTTTGGAGAGAAGAGCTATTGTTTCCTCTGAATCAGAAGAAGGCAATAGCTGTGAGGAACTAGAGATCTTTGAGGCATGATGGAGCTTCAGAGATTCAAAGTCATCTCAATAAAGTAGGAGGCCAGATAATTTTCTGAGGATGATTCAGCAAGCATGAAATTGGAAAATTAAAAGAAGATTTAGAATTGTATCTATGGGGAATGTAATCAAGAATCCACTGAAGAGGACCAAAGGATTTCCAGTTAGGATGGCAAACAAGATGATGTTAACAAGCATAGATAGATAGAAATCAAAGATAGGCTTGTTCTTTGCCACTAGGGTCAAAGTGATGAATATTGCTCTATGGAATATATTTTATTCTTAAGTTATATTAATTTTCAGAAATAAATGAAGGAATCTGTTAAGGTTGGCCAATCTGTAGTTATGTCAGTACTATTACAAATGTGAAACTATACTTCTGTAAATATGATAGTTAACCTTTATCTCAGCTGATACAGATTTTCCTTTTGTGTGTGTGTATGTGTGTGTGTGTCTGTGTGTGTATTCAGGATTTTTATTTTATTGAACACTAGAGAGCTGGTGTACGAAATCCATGCACAGGATGGGGGGTGTCCCTCTGCCCAGCCTGCACTCTCTCCAATCTGGGATATCCCTCTCACAATCCAGGACTGCTGGCTCCCAACTGCTCGCCTGCCTGCCTTCCTTCCTGATTGCCCCTAACCGCTTCTGCCTGCCAGCCTTATTACCCCCTAACCACTCCCCTGCCAGCCTGATTGATGCCTAACTGCTCCCCTGCAGGCCTGTTTGGCCCTAACTGCCATTCCCTGCAAGTCTGATCACTCCTAACTTCCATCCCCTGCAGGCCTGGTCACCACTAACTGCTCTACCCAGCAGGCCTGGTCCCCCTCAACTGCTCTCCACTGTAGGCCTAGGCCTCCCCTCCTCCGCGCGCCCCCCCCCCCCCCCCCCCCCCCGTGCCATTCGCTGCAGGCCTGGTCACCCCAACTTCCTTCCTCTGCCGGTCTGGTCCCTCCCAATTGCCCTCTCTTGCTGGCTATCTTGTGGTGGCCACCTTGTGTCCACATGGGGGCAGGATTTTTGACCACATGGGGGCAGCCATCTTGTGTGTTGGAGTGATGATCAATCTGCATATTACTCCTTTATTAGATAGGATAGAGGCCTGGTGCACAGCTGGTTTGCCCTGAAGGGTGTTCCGGATCAGGATGGGGGTTCCTTTGGAGTGTGGGTGGCCTGAGTGAGGGGCCTGTGGTGATTTGCAGGCTGGCCACACCCCCTGATGACCCAAGCGGAGGCATTGGTATCTGGGGTTTATTTATCTTCTACAATTGTGACTTTGTAGCCATAAGCAGAGGCCTGGGCTGGTCAGGGAGTTTGGAAAGCTTGGCTTCCTCCGTCCCGGAGGGCAACCCTAGCCTGCTCTCTCCAGCTTGGTGGTTGCCTCCATTTTTCTTGGGATTTATCTTCTATAATTGAAACTTTGTATCCTTGAGTGGAGGTCTAGGCCAGCAAGGGCAGGCGGAAAACTTGGCTTCCTCCATTGCCTGGGAAACCCAAGCCTCCCTCCTTCTCTCTGTGGCTGTAGTCATCTTGGTTGGGGTTAATTTGTATACTCGCTCTGATTGGCTTATGGGCATGGCTTATGGATGTAGGGGAGTGATGGTTAATTTGCATATTACTCTTTTATTATGTAGAATTTTTTAAAGAGCCCAATCAACAAAATACTACATGGTAGCAGCCCCAAATACCAGCAGGATGAATTTTTTAACATCGAGTGTTTTCATTACATAGATATAGCCAGTGGCTTTATTGAAGGCTAGAGGCCAGGTGCACTGTAGCAGGGGCAGTGGGGCCCCTCAGTCTGACTTGTGTCCTCTTATAGTCTGGGAGCCTCATGATGGACTGCCCTGCAGAGGGAGGCCCAGACTACCTGCCGCAGGACCAATGGCCTGGTAGCCTGGGCCTTTCTCTGCTGGGCGATTGAAAGCAGACCCCTCACTGGCCAGTGGCCTGGGCCTCCCTCTATGGGGCAGTCATGGGGGCAATGGCAGGGCCCCTGGCCAATCACATTGCACCTGCCTTGGCTGGCCTAGCGCCAGTGCATGTCATAGCATGGTAGTCCAGACAGTCCTTCTGCTGTTTGGCCCTTTGGTTAATTTACACATTGTGCTTTTATTATTATAGATTATTATTCTTTGGGTCACATGTTGAGTCGCTTTCATGGAGAAAAGAAAAAATAACCCTGGCTTACTTCTTTTGCCTATTGACTTTTCTAGGACCAAGGGAAGTACCAGCTTTCCCATGAAGTATTCTCAAATTTTTCTTTGCATCTCTGATTTCTCTCAATTTCTCTTACTCTTAAAAGTCAAAATGTATGTTAGCATGTATAGTTTGGTGGGGAGAGAAATAGCAGGGAGCAGGGTGGGATTTTGGGAGGGGATTGCACTTGAACTGGTTGTGGAGGGAGAATAGAATTTGGCAGGTGGATATGGGAGGTGGAAGCCAGGAGCACTCCAGTTATAGCACATGGCTGAATCCAGAAAGCAAGGAGGTGTGGTATCCTCTTCGGGGAGCACTGTGTTGAGTAGGTCCTTGGCTTTAGGTCAAGGATGCAAAAGAAGTGTGGTCTCCATGACCAGAAAAATAGCATAAAAACAGATTGTGCAAGGCTGCAGGAAGCTGGATCTCCTAAGGCGGTAAGGTTTTCCTAAGGGAGTAGCCTGCGGAGAGGTGGACGGTGGAATTGATTGCTGGAATGAGGTCCTGGAGGGAAGGGAACTAAGAGACTATTAGAAATGAAGAAGGTCAGAGGGAAATGAGGAGGAGTTAAACAGAATAAATAAGGCAAGGCTCTCTTTTACTTGAAAAGTCAAGCTAGTAATTTTGGTAGTTGATAAAAAAAAAATAGCTCCTGATATTTATAAATACAAAAATTATTTAAAATATACCTACTCTGCTTGAGTTTTTACTTATTTTTCCATTTTTGGTTAAAGTATAATAATAAACAGCATATGCTGAAACAAATTAGGTACACAACAGGGGCTGAAATAATTTCAAAAAAATTTTCTTTTAACTGGATTGCTATTATAAAATAAGAATACATTTTGATTCAGAACTTTTATGAAGAACTTGGGCATTTTATTGCAACATCTGTTTCTACATTTTAATTTCTCTCCTTCCTTTTTTATAGGTATTTGCATACTTTTTTTTTTTCAAATGAGAAGACCTTTTTGTTTGCCACAAGAAGGCTATTATCCAGAATGTTAATGGGTTTTCAGCTATTAGGATGTAATGATATACCTTAAGTATTTAACTATAAATTTGAAAAATCTCCATGAACAATCTCAGAGGAATACTTAGAATGCACTCCTGGTAAATTGGCTCATTTTCCTGTAATTTACTGGAAGTGCTGATATGAGAGCAGTCCTAATGTGAAAAGTACATTAATCCCTGGAGTTGCATTATATGTATTAAATTATTACTCTCAAAGAATAAAATGTATGAGGCCATTTAGTCTTCATTCACATCTGTTAGTTAGAACCACAGCAGAGAAACAATCACTTATCTTTTGGGGCACAAAATTAGAAATGATACATTTAATATCTTTTAAAACAAGAGGTACAGTGATGCTCAGTTATGCTTTTGCATAACAATTGCTCTTTTCCCAAACAAGGACTATTCAAGTCTGGAGCAGAATTCTTCTGGCTCTGTGGAAGCCCCTTCCATTCCATTGGTAACTGAAAGATTTTTAGAAACCCATAATGCAGCTTTCTTTGATGCCAGTCACAAAGGTTCATCTGCCTGCTTGCCATGCGCTTCTCCCACGCCGGGGGATCATGGGAGGAGGCAGTCATTTTGGAGGAGCGGTGGCTGCAGGAGCATGTAGGGTCTCGGAATTATGTCTAATTGTGTTTTTCTTCTTTGGCAGGTTGTGGAACCATAATTTGTGAATCAGAGTGCTTTGTGTGTGTGTTTTTGTTTTTTTTTTGGACAGACAGCCATTTACGATTCCAAATGATTAAGGCAGATAGGAAGCCCCTTCTGAGAGTTTAACAAAGCTCTCAACAAGCTGCACCATGGACACAAAGCTGGACCCTTCTCGCGATGACCTGCCTCTCATGGCCAACACCAGCCACATACTTGTGAAACACTATGTTCTGGATTTAGATGTGGATTTTGAAAGTCAAATCATCGATGGCACCTTAGTGCTTTTCTTAGAGTCTGGAAACAGATCCAGGAAAAAGAGTGGTTCCACTGAGGAAGCCTGCCGATCAGAGTCCAGTGAAGCCTGCAGATGTAGGAAGCCGGAACCCTGCCATGCTCCTGTGGCAGATACAAGGACCTCCTTGTCTAAAATGGGATATAGTGATTTTGCAATTTGTGGTAAAGGTGAAAGAGATACTTCTGGTAAAGATGGTAACCATGACAACCAGGAACAGACTTATGGGATTTCTAGCTCGAAGCACTGCTGTGACACAGGGAATCATGGGAGTGAGGATTTTTTGCTAGTGTTGGACTGCTGTGATTTATCTGTGTTAAAGGTTGAGGAGGTGGATGTTGCTGCTGTGCCAGGTATTGAAAAATTTACAAGGTCTCCCAAGCTCACGGTTGTTTCTGAGCTCAGGAATCAGATTGTTCGTGAACTTGTGACTCTGCCTGCCGATCGTTGGAGGGAGCAGTTAGACTATTATGCTCGGTGCAGCCAGGCTCCTGGCTGTGGGGAACTCCTGTTTGACACTGACACTTGGAGCTTACAGATCAGGAAGACAGGGGCTCAGACAGCTACTGATTTTCCTCACGCCATACGGATACGGTACAGAACCAAACCCCAGGGGCGATCAGTTACCTGGACCTCAGACCAGAGTGGCAGGTAGGTATCTGGCACCCCACAGCCCCTGCCTGTTGATCTCACGCGCTGGGAGACGAGCCTTTGCAGGAGTGCCCTCAGGCGGGGGACCAGCTCTGCAAAGATTGCCTCTCCATCTGTGGCATCACCCAGTCAGCCTCCTTAGAAGCAGGTAAATTCCCCAGCATGCTCAGCTCTGAATGGGATTACTTCCCTTAAGTCAGGGTGAACAACTGACTTTATTAAGTCCCCGTATTTCTGAGTTAGGAGAATTAAAAGGCAAGCCTCACGATTAAATCCTGAGCCTCACCCTCCGTGAAGATCCCTGCCGGCCACTGGCAGTGCTGTAGATGGGAGGGTACAGACTTCCTTGGCGCGCCCTCATTCCCCTGAGGGAGGGAGTGGCCTGCTGCCAGGCTGGGGCAGTGTGAAGTGCCTCCAAACAGAGCCAGCTCTGCTCTGTGACTTCCTTGTGGCACCTGTCTCTTGGCAGCTCTGCCTCCCTGGACTTCATATGCCAACCTCCCAAGCCAGCCGTCAAACGGTCTGTTTGTGAGGGCGTGACAATCCTGCTGACAGTGCACACTCACCTTGGCCATGAACTGTAGTGTTGGACACAGGGAGACCCCGGTTTTCAGTGTGGGGAGAAGAGGCGGAGAGGCGTCGGTGTCCAGGGCATGTATGTAGGGAGCCATTTGTGCTTTTCTTCCTGCCCTTCCTCCAGCAGTTGTTGAGGATTTTGAGAATACGAGAATTTTAAAATCAAACTTTATAGAGCCCTCATTATTTTAACTATCTCTTTGTGCTAACGTACTTCAAATCAGTATGGCAGTTCCTGCAGAGCTAGCTGGAGGGACATTGATCTGTGAGCTTGCTTACTCGCCTTCTTTTGTAGCGTTGGACTTCCTTCATGGAGACAGCGGTCTCATTGAACTGCTTCCATCTCTCTCCAACCACCCCCCAAAAAGCCTTTTAGATTTTTTTTTAAACATCAGTTTGACTTTGAGCTCTAATTATCCCATTCCTTGCCTCTAATCTTACCTCCCGCTCTGGTCTCCTGCCCCCGCTTGGAATGAGTGCACTTCCTGCCTTATTTCTGCGGGAGTCTGAGGCAGCCTTTGGGAAATTGCAGGGTTGATACAAACTTGCATCAGTACAAAAGCAGAGTGATTTATTTGTAGAATAACTTACTGGCTATCCTTGGGAGACTAGGAGGGGAAAGAAACAGGTGTTCTTATTGTGACTTCAAAGTTGTTTTGAACTTAGTAAAGATGGGTTTTCAATAAGATTTAACTATATTGTCTTTGAATACTTAACTAGGAAATTGTAGTTTTTATATTCACAGATACTACTTTTGGAATTGAATAAAGGGGAATAAGAAACTGTTGATAGAAGAAATACTTATTAATGGCCTCAAACATGTCTGTCTTCTTGGTGCTCACTGCAAGGAGAGCAGACTTGTGAATTACATGCAAAGTGTTGACTAGGAATGAATGAATGAATGCTGGTTTCCATAAAGAAACTAAAGAGGTCCTTGGGCACAACTGGCTCCTGCAAAGGCTGACTTGGTGAATTGATTTAAAAATATATATATTTTATTGATTTTTTACAGAGAAGAGAGAGGGATAGAGAGTTAGAAACATTGATGAAAGAGAAACATTGATTGGCTGCCTCTTGCACACCCTCTAATGGGGAATGTGCCCGCAACAAAGGCACATGCCCTTGACCGGAATTGAACCTGGGACCTTTCAGTCCACAGGCCGAGGCTCTATCCACTGAGCTAAACCAGTTTGGGCATGAATTGATTCTTGATAAATTCTGATAATTTAATAAAATGCATGATCACAGCGAGAGTTTAAATTGTATCCTTGGAAGTTTGTGGTTATATTTTAGAACAGAAATGGCATTTATGCAGTTTTATAAGGATAATAAGTTGTTTTGTGTTTTTTTAATCCTCAAAATATGTTTTTTCTCCCACTGTTTTGGGGGGATTTTACTTAAGATTATCTTGCATGAATGGCCACCAAACCTTTGTAAATTCTACTACATGCTTAAGAATATATCTAGGTATCCTATCTAATAAAAAAATAATATGCAGATTGACCATCACTCCAACACACAAGATGGCTGCCCCCATGTGGTCAAAGATCCTGCCTCCATGTGGACACAAGATGGCCGCCACAAGATGGCCAGCAGGGAAAGGCAGTTGAGAGGGACCAGGCCTGCAAGGGAGGGCAGTTGTGGGCATCAGGCAAGCAGGGGAGGGCAGTTGGGGGCGACCCAGGCTTCCAGGAGAGGGAAGTTAGAAGTGATCAGACTTGCAGGGAATGGCAGTTAGGGGCAAACAGGCTGGCAGGGGAGCAGTTAGGCATCAATCAGGCTGGCAGGGGAGTAGTTCAGGGGTGATACTCCGTGTAGGAATTTCGTGCACCAGGCCTCTTGGATACTTTAAGTTCTTTAAAAATGCCCAAGGGGTCTCTAATAGCTAGACAGAAATAATTTCTTAGTGATATGAGTGAATAGTAATTATCAGGGTTGTAATGCTTTATGAATATAATTGTGTGAAAATATAAAATTTCACAATTACGTGAAAAATACAACTGGGTAGAGCTTATTTTCTTTAATTAAAACATAAATAGTTGTTACATTTTTACCTTTGAATGCAGAATACTATCAGTGTACCTACCATAAATTCTTAGTCCTAGATGAGAAACTTTTTATTCTCATTTTACAAATAGGAAAATTGAATAAAGTTACTGAAAGCTCCTAGAAAAATCCATGTCTAATTATTAAAAAGAGCTACATTTCTTACATCTGATCATTACCTTGTCCCTTACTGTATGCAAAGATTTAAATACATTTTAAAAATAAATGAATTGTGGTAATTTTCAATAAATTTATCTTTTAAGCCTATTTTAGACAGAAGCTTAGGTAACCTCTAAATTGGTTTGTTACCCTTCAAGTTTCATCAGTGGCTTCTCCTCTTCTTATCCCCACCACACTCTTTGTCCAGAATAAACTCATGTTATTTTCTTCTGTATATAATAAATAAATAATCACTTAGGACACATGTGTCAAACACAAGGCCCGCGGGCCAAATCCGTCCCGCCAGGCCTTGCAATGTGGCCCGCATCGCGCTGTCATCACTGCACTCCGCTGCGTTTCCATCACAATGACAGTTTATGACTGTTCAGTAAACCATTCAGCCCGTGATTTAGGCTGGATTTTAGATTTTGGCCCCTTCTCTGATTGAGTTCGACACCCCTAACTTAGGAGGTCAGAGGAACCCAGGGTGGAATGCAAAATGTGACAAAACAATCTAATTACATGTAAGTGTGTGAAACCACCTTACTGAAGGGGATAGGGATAAAGGATACTGACCTAAATAACGCTGGAAATGTGTGGAATCTATACAACTAAAGGCAAAGAAAACTGTACATAATACTGTGGTTGGTAAGGTTGTTTCCCATGGGCCTACAGTTTAACAGTTTTGGTATCACTGTACATGTATGCTAGAATTGAACAATTAAGTAATGAACGGCAGATGGTGGGAGCCAGCTTTCTCACTGTTCAAGTGCAAGGTTACAGATGAGGAAGGGGAAGTGGCTAGACAAATGCATGTGGAAATGGATTAGAACTAGAGACATCACTATGAACTCATATTTAATATAGATATGGATGTTTGTACATGGAAATAAGTATAGAGATGGTGTTTCCAAGGGTTAGCATACACACATATTTCCTTGCTTGTCAGCTAAAAAAGTTCGGAGCACGAACACATTAGATTCCTGGTCTTGGTTTCTAAAGCCATTCTCCAATAAAGGAATCAGGGCTTCTTGGGGAAATAGGTAGGACTGGGAAAGAAATATACAAGATGAGCCTGGAGCATCTTGTAGTGCCAGAAAATAAGGAAATGCTCAAACAGCTACAGCCTGCAACTTGGGTGCCTGTCAGAGGTCCAGGGAGCCATGTGAAAGAATGCCTAACGACCACAGCTGGACAACAAAGCAAAGCAAATAGCTTTGGATAATAATGCAAAGTATAACATAAATATCTGAGCCCATGCTGATACAGTATTTGACTAAATAAACAAATGGAGGAGAATGGACAAATCCATGGTGCAGAAGAAGTCCAGTCCTGTAGCTACTCTGTCCTCAAGGAAGTGGGGCATCACTCCTCTCTTCTTAAGTGTGGCCTACACATAGTGACTTCTTTCCCAAGAGGACAGAATGGAGAGCGGGGTGTGTGTGTGCAATTTTACATCTGAGAAACTTGACAAACAGCACCTCAGCGAGGAGATCAAGGATCACATCAACAGTGATAAGTAATGTTGATAGTATGTACCCTTGGTGTGATGTGATGAGAATGTCAGCATTGTTATCTTCCCCATAACCCCAGTCTAACCAAGAGGAAAACATCAGATAAATCCCAATGGCGGGACATTCAACAAAATACCTTACCAGCTCCTCAAAACCCAAGATCAACATAAAGAAAGTCTTAAGAAACCCACCACCTAAGGAGATATGATGATTAGAGGTAATGCAGTATCCTGGAACAGAAAAAGGACATTAGAGAAAAACTAAATCTGAATAAAATTTAGCTAATGATAATGTGTCAGTATTAGCTCATCAACAAATGTAACATACAAGTAGTATAAGATGTTAATAATAGGGAAAACTGGGTATGGGGTATATGGGAACTCTGCATATTTTTGCACTTACTAGTAAAAAAAATATGTAAAACTGTTCCAAAATAAAAAGTTGGTTAAACAAAATAAACTTCAAATTTGGAAAGAAGTTACCATCTTTCCACCCTGAAATCCCCATTTTGTAGGGGCTGTCCTCCCATTTCTACCAAGTGTAAGTGTTCTCCGGAGAACTAAAAATACATTTGAAGCTATAAAAGTTGTGTTCCTTCCAATCACTGTCAATAAAAATCTGGAAATATAAAAGCTACATTTTCCTACTTTGGTTTAGCCATTTGGGGTTGTAGCAGTGCTTGAACTGAAATGCTCTTTCTTGTGT